CCAGGAAAATTACCTAACTGTAAGGTCTTATTCTAGGATCTAAGGATGAGCGAGCAAGAGCAAGGTTAACCCCCAGCGAAGAACAAGATTTAACTGTGATTTAACTAAGTACTCAAAAGGCCAAAAATACACGCACACGCTAAGCCAATTAGTATTTTCAAAGACGAACCAAAACTTCGCCAAACAGCGGTGTTATTGTAAGAGAATTAGCACTAAGGAAACCTTGAAAATATTTGAGTATGACGTGAACCCGATCAAAGCTAATCCAAATTAGTAAATATTATGATGTTATTCGTATCATTAACGATTCAAAAATTAACGACTATTTGTTAATATTTTATCTTAGATCTTCGTTATCACCCCGAAAAAGAAATCCATCAAATAATCTAGATGGATTTCTTTTTCGTCTCATCTAGATTCTAGATTCATTATCACCATCATATTCAGACATAGGACGTCCACTGCTGCACATAGGCCTCCCCCAATGATTTCCGCAATGGCCGGTTGGTGGCGGCCTGCAACCAGCGCCTTCCCGCTACCTTTATGAGGCCGTCGGTCCACCTTGTGGGTGGACGTCCTACGCTAGATGTCTACAGGATTAAATTGATCGAATGTAGATCAGAAGGAACTCTCACTTTTAGTTTGCGACAGAGTGCTAGAAAGTGAAAACATGGATGATAAAGATCGTGATTTATTACTCACGGAGACGTGACGCAATGGGATTAGATTAATCTTATTTAGTTATGAGAATGACCTTAATTACATTAAAGATATCATGTGGACTAAATGTTGCTCTTAAGATTAAGTTCAGCGACTACAAATTGCTAATAGGATATTGGGAAATGTAGACTGCTTGATTAGTCACCTCTTTTTGTCTAGCTAGAAAATCTTGTTAAATTCCAATCAACTCGACTTTTGGTTGAGACCGTAAACCGAACTGTAACACATTTAACATAATATAAATACATACGATGCCCGTATGCACGACACATGTGCAATACTGATCATGCCAGTTACTGCTTACTTTCTAAGTTAAGATCGACGTGAAGGATTGCCATGTTAGGTATTATGATAACTTTACTTTCTATGCTCTCCAATTCTGTCTTCAAGTTATCATTTATAAGGAAACTTGACTCAGTAAGTAAATCGTCATAACTGTACTTCTATGTAAATATTCTGAATTTTATGAATAAATATTAATATGCAGTTAGACGTATCAGCGACACACGTCAGTGATTTCTTTAATCAAGGTTAATAATATGGCTGGTAGCATACATGAATATAATTAATAGGTTGGTAACGAATAATGTGTATGCTTCATTGAAAATGGATATGAAAATCGCAGTTAACTGGATGCGATACGTTACGATGATGCGGAAAAAGGATGTCCGATATAGAACTAAATCACCTGCAAAGCGTAAGAATAATTAGCAGAAGTTGTAGAGAGCTTGTTGAATATTTCAAGGTAACGAACGGTTCATATTGAAACCATACTGTTCTACGATGACTAGAGAGAAGGACTCCTCAACCCGTCTGGACAGAGTCACGCAGAGTGTGAGGCTAACGCACATATTTACAAACGCTACTTTCTTAGGTGAAGCAGAAAATCGAACGCACAGCGTTGAATAGAGCTCTGTGATTGGTTCGTGTGTCACTCTGTGCGTCCATGCGCACTGTGAGACCCCATAGTAATGTTTGTGAATACGGGCGTAATTCTTCCATTTGTCTCTGGTAAAGAGAGAGTGCACTAAAGAACCAGTGATCTGATGATAAAGAGATAAGGACTCCTTAACTGGTCAGGTCCGAGTGTAGGGAATGAAGGCTAAATCCTTCATTTGCCACTGGTAAATTAAGGAGTCGTGCTCCTTCAGTAGAGACCAAATGACCTGATGACGAAGAGAGAAGATTCTGTAGGAGTTGACACTTTTTAGGATAGAAAGATAGCAAAAGTGTCACGTGTAAGGTGACCGCGGGAAGTAGACCCTGCAGTCACCTTCACATCGATAAAAATAGGCACACAGTTGAATAAAACATTGCGGCTGACTATTCAAAGTCTTGAGATCGATAAATGAAGAAATGGTAATTTAATGTCAGCAGTCACTACCGAACTGACCTTGGTCACACATTGGTGTGCTCACTATAAATAACTTTTTATTTAGATTCGCAACACTACGGTCTACGACTAGACTCTGAATTGTCGAGTCCCCGCATCACGCGGTAAATCAATTATTTTTACAGCTGCCCTAGTTTCGCGGGTTTTTGCGAAAACGTGGGCGTCGGCAAGCGGTTCAGGGTTAAAAAACACTTCTGGATTGGAAATGTCGCAAATTCTAAATAAACTAAGAGACCTGTGCCTCTAGCTAGAGTTATACACAGACAGACCAATCTATAGAAAGAATAAGCATTATACTGATTAGTTTATCTTCTCTGTGCTTTAATTAATACATTTCAAGGACTGCACCGGTCCCAACATGGCTTCTTAACATGCATAACAAGTCTCATAATGTTTAATATGACTGTTGTTATTCCTAAAGTATACATAGGAGGTAGTTCTTACTATCTCGATAGCTCGTCGGGTTCAATGGCACGACGAAAGTATGCAAGATGGGACCTTGAATATTATTAGTGCTCATGTTTACAGCTTATGGCACTGTTACTTTAGAGTGAACATGATTGCTAATCTGTCAGTTTGATAAAAATATTTTTGTCTTGAGAAGTACTAGTATTTATTGTGTTCGAACTTCATATGCTAGATCGTAGGGCTGTCACGAAATGTAAATGTTGTTGTAGATCCTGCACTCATTATAAACGCGTATATGAAGAATTCGGAAGATTGTGATGATGATGTTTGCAAAAATCTACAATCGTAATGTTTGTAGATAGCATTTGTATGGTACAATCTACGAAACGATTATAGGCGTAAAATAGTCCCATACTTTGTTAATTTAATTTATTCATAAGTCAGTTAATTAATTCATTAAGCTAGACCCTGACGCAGAACAGCAGTCTGCCGTCATAGTCGCAACGCTAAGTGACAGGCTAGGTACGCAAGGGCAGTCTGACTCCAATGACAATAAATCACGATACAAATCAACCTTTGTAATCCAATGCTGTAGCTTATAGGCTTCGTAATCGGAGATACTCGCGCTTAGCCTAGCTTTGTCAGGTTGGAATAAATACTTTAGTGTCAAACAGAACATAGAAAGTTAATAAAAGTTACAGTGTGTACCACACTCAATACATTCTAATTAACCTATTAAAACCTAAGGCTGGTTTTAGTGTCACACGGACCGTCCGGTGCGGACCCGCTCCGCACAGCCAATCTGTATGAACTTCTAGGGAGCATTTTAGAGTAATGCGGTCTGGAGGAACCGCTCCGTTCCCAAGCAGTTCATACAGATCGGCTGTGAGAAGCGATCCGCACTGACAGTCTGCGTGACACTAAAATCAGCCTAATATATTGTGTTAAATCATGTAGGTTAGTCTTTATTATGCTCCTACCTACTTTTTTCTTAAATATGAAAGTTACATTGTGTGGAAAACCTTGGGGGAGGCCTTTGTCCAGCAGTGGACGTCATTTGGCTGAAACGACGACGACGACATTTTGAATAATTCATATAGCCCCGAGATTTCAAAGGGGCAAAGATATCTTCATTCAGGGAAAGGCTTCAATCTGGCCCACTTATGATTACAGAGTGAAGCATTAAATTTTGTTTTTTACAGCTTTAGAACAGTGTGTGTGAAAACAACAACCAGAAATTAGAAGGTTAACAAGCAATGTTAAAAAGACAGAGCACATCAGTATTGAATTTTGGACATGAAATTGAGTGAGGTGTGAAGTTGTTTGACTATTTTAATTTTTATGACTTACAAATTCAAATGATGTTATATGCTTTAGTTTCAAACATTAATGATTCCATAATTCATTTCTACCTTTTATGTTACTTTTATCCGGAATTAATTTTGTTATGAATTATGTTTTTATAATACAAATGATTATTTAATTATGAGAAATAAATGAAAACAATTTAAAGCTTGTAATGAAGAAAATTTAACTATTTACAATACTTGTACAACCATGAAATTAAATCTTTTGATTTGGGACCTCCATGATTTGGGTGGTCATAACAATAATGTCCACCCAATGGCAATTTTGGCAATAATCACAATAGTAAGAGACAGGATAGTAAAATTACTAACGTGCATAGAGCAACGAAAAAAAAAGGGTCTCACAGCACATTGTTGTGTTGTTGTTGACATGTTGTGACCCTGTGTTTCTCTATTTTAATTAAAATAGTCTGCGAAAGTTAAGAGGATGGTTATTATTGTACAAGGAAATGTAGGCAATAATGACATTGTCTGATAAATCACTCAAACCAGCCCACCCTGCCATTGATACCAAAATAAATGTTATATTTATGTTTCAATCAAACCATATGTAGGCAGTAATTTTTGTCCTACAAAAAAGGTGCAGTATTGTGACTCGAGTCAGCCCTGCAGTTGTTAAATGCCTAAAACAAAATACTGAGAACTGATTATACTATCAGCCTATCTCATATTGATAAGATAATTGCAAGAATATTCAAGAACTGATGAATACCTGAAATATGTAACTAGGAAACAAAATGAATGTATCTCAGGTTAATTCTATAACACTTAATAGAACAAATTTATTGGTCACTCAATCACTCAAATTTATGTTTTAGTTGTCAGGGTATTGTGATTTGGTACAGGAAATCTAGGGGGTTAAGTGTAAATTTGTAATGTCTGTATTGCCTTGCTGTGTAGCATAAACTTCATGCAAGAACAATGACGGCAGTAACTATCAATTATTATAGTAACGTAATAGTGGGCGCCTCCAGATTCGTGCCCTGTGAACAACACGGCATACGTACTGTTTGGTACAAGACGTCTCAATTTATGATATGACGTCAGTCTGCTAATTGTAACTTATGTCTACGGAAATGATTGAAAAGTGTTTGCTTTTGCTAAAATCTTACCCGTCTCCGACCACGACACACTTAATCGCCTGCATTATTCCGTTTTGGCCAACTGTTCCCACAAATTAAAGCACGACAATGAGTTCAAACTTGATTTGTTGCTGCACGGTTTATCACTCTAAACGAAATTAAAACACAGTAACATCACATTCAACACTTTAGTTTTCTTCAGTTATCGCTAATAGTCTCATAATCTTCACTGTAGCGATAAGAATAAAATCGTGAACAAAAATTCAATCACCGTTGGTTGGCTTGGAAGAAACCACAGAAACGAACGACGTTTAGTTTCGTGATCGTGCGTGTCGCTCCGCTCGCTTCGCCATAGCGATGGGCGTTATTCGTTATCACTGGTTATTAAACGAGTGATTAGCCTGACCAGTGATCACTCGTTATCCAAAAACGCCTAAACTAGTTTTTTTCTTAACGTCATACAACGTTAGAATCTCTTCGTTATTCAACACGATTGCTTCCACAACGCTCTAAAGGTAAACTGAATTCACTCTTAAGCAAACAACATAAGGTAGATGTTTGGTTGACACAAAAAATAACGTGTTTCCCGCTTCGTTATGACAGTTTTGAGGACAACGTCGTACATTGACGATTCTTAAACATATTTTTTGTAACCTAAAGGAGTAAAGCGAGTAATGTATGGTGTCCAAATAATAAGGATCGCAACGAATCGAGTGCGTGTGCGAAAGCCATAGGACGTTAACATAAGTGTGGATGAAATAGGTATAATCTTCGTCGTACGTTAGATATTCAATGGAATTTGAGTCTTATTTTGAAGGTCATAAGTTCCTAAAGGCCTTGCAGCTAACCAAACACCTAACGTTATTATTATCACTCTTGCTTGAGCGTTGTTGAAATAACTTCGTTTAAAAAAAACTAGTTTTGAAAACGTTATTCGTGATTCGAAAACCGTCGCGTTTCGTTATTTCAAAAACCCATAACGACACATCTTTACTTCGCCAACGACAGAACCAGAACCACAGATTAATAAACAGAAAAAAAAGAATCGACTCTAGTGATGTTCCAATGATTAATCATTCAATTGATTTTCACAATCGATATTACCATTGATTATAGAAACTGAGTAAAAAATGTTTTTTTATAGATTTAATCAACTACAGTACTACAGATAAATTAAAACTTAAATCATCGCTAAATTATATTTAAAAATAATGCATTACTGAGCCAATTAGTGAGTGCAAATGCGATAGCTCTCATTCTATTATTCTATAAGTTTGGCCAAGTATGAATAAATATTTTTGATTTTAAGTTTTATCCATGGTAAACTCTTCAATGCATTAAATTTCCTATCAGCCAGCCTCCTAAATAAGTGGCAAAACGTAACAGTTTGAAATTTCGAAATCCCTTCACGGAGCGAAAATACAAAAAAACGCCGCGGCGCGCCGGAGCGAAGAGATGTCGAAGTTACATCCGTCCATTTTTGCCACTTGTCTAGGAGGGCAGGCCATGCTTTTTGCGCGTTGCGCGTTACATTTTTCTTTAGTCTATGGTAATAATGGCTACTCGTTCTATGTTGCGCGGTATTGCGTGATCCCGCCCGGTGGTTAATTTTGATGTGACTATGGCAAAAGGAGATAAAGAATTAGAAAAACCTATAGTGAACAATGAATTACCTACTCCGGATTGTAGAAGTGTTGATCATGATGACACAGAATCGACACAGGAGCAGCCTTTGGATATAGGGGAGCATTATTTGGTTCGGCGATCGGATGAGTCATGGCACCCGGCTGAGATTATACAGACGCGATACAATGCCGCTGAGGGGAATTACGAGTACTATGTTCACTATGTGGGCTACGATAGAAGACTGGACGAATGGGTTTCCCGCCATCGGGTCATGTCCGATAGGTTTGACATGTGCGAACAATCAAATAACAATATCAACTCTGACCACCTCCTCACCGACAAATCGGGCCGAAAAATAACAAGAAATCAAAAACGTAAACACGATGAAATCAATCATGTACAAAAGTCATACGCTGAGATGGACCCGACCACGGCGGCTCTCGAGAAGGAACACGAAGCTATCACGAAAGTCAAATACATCGACAGGATACAAATCGGCAAGTACGAAATTGACACATGGTATTTCAGTCCTTATCCTGATGAGTACGGAAAACAATCAAAACTTTGGATTTGTGAGTACTGCCTGAAGTACATGAGGATGGAAAAGACGTATAGATATCATCTAAGTGAGTGCACAGCGCGACAACCACTAGGCAACGAAATCTACAGGAAAGGCACCATAGCAATATTTGAAGCAGACGGCAAAGAACATAAAATTTATTGCCAGAATTTATGTTTGTTGGCGAAGTTGTTCTTAGACCACAAAACATTATATTTTGATATTGAACAGTTTTTATTTTATATATTGTGTGAAGTTGATAAGCAAGGAGCACATCTTGTCGGTTATTTCTCTAAGGAGAAAGATTCTCCCGAGGGAAATAATGTTGCCTGTATATTGACATTACCTCCTTATCAGAGGCAAGGCTACGGTAAGTTGCTCATTGCTTTCAGCTACGAATTATCTAGACTGGAACAGGTTGTTGGAAGCCCTGAGAAACCATTATCAGATCTAGGGAAACTAAGCTATAGATCATACTGGTCCTATGTCTTGCTGGAAGTGCTAAGTGCCAGTAGAGGCACTCTGAGTATCAAAGATCTGAGTCAGATGACAGGTATATCTCAGACGGACATAATATCAACATTGCAGTCAATGAACATGGTGAAGTATTGGAAAGGCCAACATGTAATCTGTGTCACACCAAAGATTGTATCAGAGCAATTGGCCAGTTCTCACTTCAAGAAGCCTCGGTTATCTGTAGACCCATCTGCGCTACGATGGACGCCCCCCAACAAACAAGGGAACTCTGCTAAAGCTAAAAAGTAGTACAGGCTTACAGGCACTGCTTAGAGAATGCTAAATTAGTCAGAATCAAAAGCCTTCTCTATGCTCAGGCCTGTTATAAACAATCTATACTTAGTTTTTGTTTCATATGCAGTGGATAGATCAGTGCTAGAAGTATTATAATTTGTATTGTAAGTGTAAAAATATTTTATGTAAGTGAAAAACAAACAAATGTTGATTAAGATAATTTTTACAGTGCATTTGTTAAAAGTAATGAGCTTTATTACATGATTAATAGTCAGGGATATATCCAGTGAAGAATGTTATGCATTTTTATTGAAAATATTAATTAAAACTGCAGATTTGCACCTGCAAATACTTGTCATTTTATGATTTAATAATAATAAAATGTAATTACAAAATTCCAATATTATTTAATGTATTCAAATTGTTTTTTAAAATTCTAAGTGTACCTAGACCTAAAGTTTTTAGAATTAAAAATGTAGATGTTATTTTGATCATGAAAATAAGTAAATAATGGTAGGTACTTCTATATATTTTCAGTTTATTATCATTTAGAAGTGTTTAAAATCACTGCAGGCATCTTTTCAGAGACTTGAGAGATGGGGCTTATCATCCAGCAATAGTTAGGTAAAACTTATTTGTTGTAACAATTATTGATTGTGTGTAAATTGAAGTTAATCTGTTATTAATGTAAACCATTTTGGACCAGGTTGAATGAATCCTGTGTATAAATCTGTCCATTGCAATTGCAGTAAAATTATTAGACAAATCTAAATAATAGATGGCTGTGTTGTAACTATTTTTGTATAATCAGATTGGATTTGTTAAAAATGTTGTCAGTTTAAAAAGGAAAACAAATGCATAAATTGTAGTAATATTTTTTAATAATAGATTAATTTGTTGATGCCCAATTTCAGACAAAATAGAATACTATTGTAATGTGCATGTAAGCAGGGGCATGCCAAAATAGGCAATAAGGCAGTGCCTACCTTGCAAATTTTCATCAATCAGTACCTAGTTTGTATTTTGTAAGTATCTACTGCCTACCTCAAATTAAACTCATTTTCGCCATTGTCAGTGGGCACCAATACATTAATTTTAACTACTTCTTGGGCTATATAGTTTTTTTAGTTTCCTTTAGGTATTCACCCTTCCATTATAATATGATCTGCTTACATACATAATTTTATTCAGTTCCTTTTTGTACTGGTAATAGTGATATTAATTTTAAGTTATTAATAAGTTAATTTTTTGTAGAAATCCCATTAAGTACCTAAATAATCACTTTTCATAACAAAAAATTTTTTACAAGGGTAGCTAAGCTATTTTAACATTTGAAAATCATGATTTTTAGATTTATTGTAATATTACAAATTACAATAGTTAATAATCGTGTGGGATTTTGTTATGAAAGGTGAATGACTTAACACACCGTCTCCAAAATGCGCGTTAAAATTGCGTCACCTATGAGGTGATCAGTGAGTACTAAACATTGTGAAATAGTGTAGCTATTTATAGTACACTATTGGCTGTCTCGAACAACGTGGTATGTGTAATATGATTAAGATTATTTTGTGTTGTAAGTATTTTTACTCATAATTAACATAAATAATTGCAATGATTTTTCTTGGTTCTTCGGCAGTTGCCTGCTGGTGGATTGTTTTAGAATGTAAAAAAGATCCTCCCATTGCAAATTAATTAGATTCTGTGAATCATCTGTTTTCACTGTTTATTTGTGATAGTTCTTTAGCTGTAAGTGAAAATGACAAAAATAAAAGAATAAATTGCTAACAGTGTATTTTGTTGCTACATCCCTATCCTATATTTTAACTTCGGTTGGTAGGTGTGTAATTCGGAAATGAAACGAAATTGTTCACGATATCTATCATTCAATTTATTTTCATATACCATTTGCACATATTGAACACTTAAATACTATGTAAGAAGGTTCACATGTTGAATGTAAGCATTTTTTATTTTGTGCGTTTTCCGCTCCAGTTTTTTTGGCCCTATGGCCTGCCTATGCAGCCTTTTGTACCCTTTGCACCACCGGCCTGCACCACTGGTGGTGCAAAGGGTATTTTTAAATCCCTTTTACACCACCAATAGTGTCGCGCTACTATTAACTGTATAACGATTAATATATATAATATTAATATTATAAAAAGGAAAGATTTGATTGTTTGTTTGTTGTACTGAATAGGCTCCGAAACTACTGGCTCCGAAATCTAAATAATTTTCTGAGTAACATAGGCTATTAAATATTTTCAAAAGAGTTACTAAAAATGTGTATTAAAGTACCAGGGCAACATAATCATAAAAGAGCTATATCAAATTATTCTTGGTTGACCCGAGAAATAAACATATTATCATAAAATAGCTCCTTTATGGTTATGTTGCCCTGGTACTAATTATTCGTTGTATGTAGGCCCGGGGTATCGTGGGTCTGAAGTGAAATGTTTCTAGGCACGTGTTAAGTTTTTCATATTATTTTATTCTTAAGTCATTCAAGTATTTGTGTCTTGTAGTCATCATTTCATGTTGATGAGGTGATGATGAAAGGAAAACTACTCCTAAACGCTGTTCCATGCATACAGGCAAGCTCACACATCATGTTGTTAGGCTAAACACAAATATAAAAAAAAACTGCTGAACATAACGCTTCAATTTCCCGCCAAGAATTCCCCTCGAAGTGTCAATGCGTTTATTGCACTGCAATAAATAAATAAAAACTTAAGTGTAGGTTTTGATTAATTTATAACAATTAAATTATTAAGTATTTCACAGTCTACTACTAGTTTTACAGTCGATGGTAGCACATCACTATTTGTTGGTGGTGCAAGAGGGATTTAAAAATACCCTTTGCACCACCAGTGGTGCAGGCCGGTGGTGCAAAGGGTACAAAAGGCTATGCAGTTACCCGAACTTTGTTCAAGTTCTAATTAAAATGGTCTAATAAATGTAAGTACAGTATGTACTTTATTATTCTCAGTACTTACTATATAATAGAGATAACCATTTCTAGACCACTTTTAGATAAGGCCCGAATCGGGTAATGACGTGCACCATTTTTCTGACCTACAAATACTATCCTTATCAGTAAGGTAGGTATTTATATTTCAGTTTAGATATCTTTATCTGGGTTGCAAAATTTAATGTAACATGCTGTATGTACCTACTATATTCAAAATTATGTTTCCCACGTGCAATATAACAACTTTAAGCAACTGTTACATGTAGGTAGTTCATTTTTATTAGGTAAATGCATAACATTCAACATGCGTACCGGCATACAAGGTTGCATTTGTAAACCATAGTAAGTATTCGTTAATATGGTAACTTTTTCTTTGGCCCAGTATTTTCTAAATGACCATTAGTGTAGCTGTGATGTTATGTGCCTCAAGTACTTTGATAATAATTTAATGTATTAAATTAAGTCCACTTTCGTGAAGTGAATTGATAAAATTTTCCAGCGTAGAGATAAATTTCACAGCCCCTACTGGTCTTTTAGAGATTGATATCTATTTAAGTACATTAATGGTGCGATTTCAAAATCGAAGCCCAAAGAGTAAAGTTAAAACCGGTAGAATCATACAAAGCGGTTAGATCCTGGCTACATAGAAGTTACAGCGTTGGGAACGAGAGGTGGGAAAGTCCAATTCATTCCTAACTACGAAAACATCGCTCCACAGCGATTCAACTTTCGTAGTTTCATAACTGTAGAGGGCGTTACTGGGATCGAGTCGTTTAGGGCGTTATTTAGTTTTCTGAATCAGCTTTTGAATTATGTTGTATCATTTATCTTAGTTAAATATTTTATACAACTATCCAACACCACGATTCGCCATCAGTTTCACGAGATTTTTATGTGATCTTGAACTTTGGTCTAACGTTTTTTACTTCGGTCATACGACTTTGAATTCGCACCACGCTAGTCCAAGCAAAACCACATCTACGTGGTGCCAACTTTATACATCTTAAAATGATACGTCACCAAACACTGAACTTTAGCGTTAATATTCAACACTTATTACAATATTTTTTTTATCGTTTAGTAGTTTTTTTATTATCATCAGAACAGACTTCTAACCAACATACGTGTTACATATCTACAATCTAGATATAATATGTAATGCTACTACGTTACAATTAGTGTAATTTTACATAAGAATTTGTTTACATTAAAATTCACAGACAATACATCGGTGGCGATTCTTTTGAATCATTCACTGAACTATCATTATGTTCATACAAGTGTCCAACTTAAAAGTCCCACCTATATCTTTTCAGACTGACCAGTTAAATGACTCTTTTGAAGCATTATTTATTTATCTATTGTTTAGTGAGTGCTAAACAACAGAATCGCCACCATCAAAACAACATCAATTATGTATTCCTAGGGCATTACATCAGTGTTTGACCATTACCTGGTAATAACATATTTTAAAAATTTTTAGGTGAGTTTTGACAATACAGTTAAATAACTTTTTTTGTGATCTCCATTATCTGCTCTGTGATAATAACAGTATGTTAGTCAAAATATTAAAAAAAAAATCTTAAAAATAATATTGCACGTTACTTTAGAGGTGTTTTTGATAATACTTTATTCCACATAAAAATAAACGAATACTTAGATACAAGATAATTAAGTTTTTAAAATAATGGTTAACCTAATGGTTACTGTTTCAGGAAAATAAGCCGTATAAGGTTACGTTTTAATAGTTAACTTACACAAAGTTAACTAATAAAGAGCGAATAGTTAAGTATTTCCTACTAGCCCTTAGTAACACGACTGATATGCTCACACATTCGAACTAAGCTCCGACTTTCTCGCCTCTAGTATTATTTTGTTTAGGTATAATACCTCAACTGCTCACTTCGAAAAAGTACCTACTTACCGACAGGGCCGGATCTACCATACTTATGGCTTTTTGGGCTTCAGCCCAGGGCCCCCAATCAAGTCAAATATTTTACTGTTCCATTTTTTTCTATACCTAATAAGGTAGGCCCCTAAGTAGTACATATTAGCCCAGGGCCCCCTAAACTGACGGTCCGGCCCTGCTTACCGATGTTACTCGAGTAGGTTGCCCCTTTGAATCTGGCGCAAAATCGACAACTTTCGGATGTTGAGCGAGGCTGGCCTCAATTGCTCGAAAGTACACTATTCGATTAACTTCGCGAGTAGTGTAACTGAGGACTTTTACTACAAGAGACGAGTCAGCCGCAACGAGAAAACTTCAACATTATTGCTAAAACTCTTTACAAAGAATTATTAGTGCAAGCTATGGAAGTGACAAAGACGACTACTGGGTGCTGGCCCTCCGATTGTAAGATATAACAAGATTTCTTAGGGTTTTCGCATACCTATCAACTCTGAGCCGGATAGAGAACTTTTTGTCCTTTTTAACCTGGAAATTGCCCCTTTTTTCTACCGCTGCATATGTTCTGGTATCTCTGCGAGATCGAATCAGAAATAAAGAGATCCATATGAACATGAAAGTAACCGACATATCCCGCAGAATTAGCAAACAAGTAGTAGTGAGTGTGTCATATTATAACTCACTGACAGAAAGAAGCAGCGAAACAAACTTTATCTGCAGGTAAAAAGTGAGGAAACAACCTTTTGCCAATTTTCTTATCGATATAAAAAGGAAGGCCAGCACGCCTATTGGCTTTAAGGCCGATCTACACGCATTCCAATTATTACACAAAATTTATTTATTTGTACTCAAATTTAAGCCTTGTTGCAGTGTACTTTAATTTTAATTTATATAAATTCAGTTACATTCACATTCGTTACAAAGATAAGCACATTGCTAATTTTACATTTAGGACAAAACAGCAATTGTGTAATAATTGAAATGCTATTACATACTTTTAAACAATTAATTAATTCTATCAAAGATAGGAATATGCCTAAAATATCATCTTTTAAAAAAATATTATGATCTTGGATAAGCGCTTATACATTAATATAATATTTATTAATAATACTGAACGCACAGATCATATTGCAATAAATAACCAAACACAAAAAACATAGCACTCGGAAGGTTTCTTTCAAATAAATTGGCGCGAAAGTTGTTTGGAGATGTCAATTAACCACAGATATGGATTAGAGCAATTAACACTTGAGTTTGACAGGACAACTGTCAAAATGACAGGTGACATTAGCTAGCCATTCGCGCCAACTTTGTTGAATACAAAATACTTTTATCAAGAACTTTTCGTAATAATATTACAAGCAGATTACAACAAACAAATCCTACTTATATTTAGAGAATACGATTATATTAAAACGCAGGAAATCCATACGATATGCCATTTAAACTTTACCTACACTTTTATTTACTTTACATAATATAATAAAGAATGTACTTTTTATTATTATAATAATCATTAATCAAGCTATATGGAATCTTACAGGATTTGCCTACCTGAAATGTGATAACTAAATACACACGTAATTTTAAAAGTAAACGAATACTTTGGTTACAGTGTTTTATAGCAGATAATTTGTTACTAACTTTAAATAAAAAAAAACAGTGTGACTAGATAAAAAATAGGACGTAATTAAAAAAAATTTTTTTTTTAATAATTTAAAAATTTATGGCAACATTTCAGCCAACCAGCCAGTTAAATTAAAATTTTAGTCATCACATTAGGTAGCTTGTGATATATAGATTTATATATTTATTTGTAAGATAATATACATTAACGTGTCATACATGGTTACGGTATTTCTTTGATACTTTTAACGACGACAACGATTTATTAAAGCGTTGAAATGGCACGACAGATACAATCGATGGTTTAATAAGAGAAAGCTCACATTAAAATAAAACAAAAACAAATATCACATTTAGAATCACGAGCGGGGAGTGTGTATATTTTAAATATCCTTTTCTATTTACATAATATACGTTTTTACAATAGATATTCGGGTAATATTGTCAAATATACATACCTACAAGCAGGTACTGTGAAGCGATACACGGTTATGTTTTATTTATGTATACTTAAACGAGCATTTAATTTTTTCAAAACCACTTCTTATCCCGTCCCTATGTAAAGGTGCTCACACAATGGGGACAGTCTCGTGTAATGTATTTTAATATTAACTATAAAGCATTACGCTTGAATTTCGAATCTCTCATCGCATCGTCACATTACACTCGAATGCTCCCAGTGTGGGGGAATTTTCTAAAGAAAAAAATGCTCGTAAATGCAATTCTTACTTTTTCGAGTTATCCCACTAACGAAAATAAATATTAAATAGAGATTATACTATTCGAGACAAACAACACACATCTATGACTCATATACATCTTTGAAGGTGCTGTCAAATTAATTATAACAAATAATTACAAGAAATAATTAAAAACGCGATGATGATTATAAGTTAAGTAATAATTAAGTACATGGAAGTGTGTAGCCGATTATTTCTTACAACAAGTAAAGCAATTGTGCATTTAAGATGACTTTATATGAAGTGCAATGACATTTGAATTCGGTATTTCTTAAACATTCTTCTATAGTTGTTTTCCTAATAATAACATCAAAGTAATACACATTTTTGACCCCACTCCTAAACTTGCAACTTCTACACATGTTTGACAGGTCAAAAAGTCTAGTTAGTCTATGAAAGGCGAGTTGAAAAACACATGGATAACGTTATGGTTCATACATACTTAAAGAAACGTATATCATTTTGATGTCCATTATTACAGCTGAAAAGTTATAATCGAAATCCAAGTTTTGCCTATTTTGGTTGTCACAACTTTTGATCAGAAGTTTTTCATTAAGCGTTATCTAACAGTATACAATACTGCGAGAAAACCTATTGTTGATTTGTAACTGCCACGATTTTGACTGCCTGTTGTTGTAGAGGGCGCTGTATTAATTATTACTTACTCGGTGCGCAAACGCAAAGGGAAATATTGTGCGCGAATCCCGCCGGCTTAGTAGGTGGGGGCCGTGTAGTCAATGTTGCCTGGAAATTTGAAAAGACGTTGGTTAGATTCCAATTTTTTTAAATTATTAGACCATTAAGAAACCATTGATATATTCCTTTATTCAATTACACTTCTAAAAAAAAAACACCAAATATCTACCAATGGGACATTTATCAGATCTTTTAAAGTTAACTACCTACTTCAATAGAAGTCGAATAAAATAATGTTACATCTGAAATACAACACACGTATAAACGCAAAAGAACCGAAGTCACTGAATTGGTTTTGAATTGCCAAGTAACTTTAAAATCAACTGACTAAGCAGATTAAATAAACACATCCAATAAAAATCGTATTGGTATATTAACAAGGTCTCGGTCTTGTCTCTAGGTTCATCATTATCATCGTCATTATTATATCAGCCACAGGACGTCCACTGCTGAACATAGGCCTCCCTCAATGCTTTCTATGTTTCCCGGTTGGTAGCGGCCTGCGTCTGTCTCAAGGTTAGGTCTCTCCAATAACCCATCTGGTTTTGTATGCGAAAACGATAGGTTGCAGTAGAAGTGGGTACAAGCGACAAGTTACAATGGACTGGCGGTAGCCGTCGCTCATCAAGGAAGTCCAAAATAACCTGCTGCTCGTAGCCACAAACACATCAATGTTTTCTTCATCCTCCTATGCCTTTTTTTCCTTTTTTGTTTTGCGACTGAAAAGTACATTGAATTGCATACCAGGGGAATTGTGTGGGGCTTTTCCTGTTATAAGAGCATGGTCTCTCTGTTTGCCCACCTGGCCGTGTCTGCGAAAACAGCAGGTCGTTTGTACACGTGATACCTTTATAAAAACAATCGCAAGGCAAGACGTTGGAGGTTTTATCATCTCCATGCTCTTCCGTGGGATCGTCAGCAATTGGGCATGGGGATGACCCGAGAGGATGCACCATTCCAATCGAGTTCGGGTGGGGCTCGCTCCAAAAGCGAGCCATGATCTGGAAAGGAGCCACGGACGAATGTCTAACAGGACAATTTAACTCAAAGCTCCATCTTATTGGGCTCCGGCGGATAGGTACCATAAGGTTTTAGAAGTGTGTAGTTCCAAGGCTAGGATTCTCGGTTAACGGGTTATTTGGCAGCGTCTGCGAGAAGGCATCGGCGACAGTCACTCATCAAGAAAGCCCTGTATAACCTGGAAGATTATACTGGAACGCTTAACAAGATCTCCACCTAGTTGTTGTTTGTGGACTGTTCTCTCTCCACCTACCTGGCTGCGTCTGCGAGATAGGCGGGTCGCTGTAAGCGGGCGGCGCCCTCCACCTCGTATGTCGGCGACAGGCATTAGCCAGTCGTCAAGAAAGCCCTGTATAATCTGAAAGATGCTAGGAAGCCCTAACATGCTCTCTACCATGCTAACCAGCTGTCCAAAAACACCTTAAGGAATTCTTCAAATTATGGTGGTTCTTCAAGCATGTTCTCCGCGGATTCTACAACTCTCTAAAACCCGGTCGCCGAGCACGTAGAATTTCGTCCAATGACCCCAAGCTACCCATCCTTATCGCTCGAGCGTAATTATATTGCTGTGGCGACTGTGCGACGGGCGGCCGCAGTGAGTGTGCGACTATAGTCTAGCTCACCTGGCTGCGTCTGCGAGAAGGGCGGGTCGCTGTAGGCAGGCTGTGGGTCGGGCGCGCCGGGGTAGGCAGGGAAGGCGCCGGGGCTGCCCACAGCTCCCTCAACCTCGTAGGCGGGCGCGAACGCCGCTTCAGCACCCATGCGGAACCGCTGCAGCGCGAAGAAAGCGCAGCCCACCTGATGAAGGCATCGTTGGGGCCGTTAAGGATAAAGTTTGCAACTCTTCGGGAACCCTAACTTCGGACTCCTCCTATGTTCTTCTGATTAATTTCGTTGCGGGTCCAATGACAGTTTAACTTTCCCCCGGGACAAACTTGACCTTCACTGGTTGGGATTTTATTGGCGGTCAAGCTGTAGATCCTGGCTCGGTGGGTGGGTGGTTGAGTGATGTCAAATTGACATTTTAAATACGACGAATTTATATTCATTGATATAATTCAGTCAGAGGTGTAAGTTATCATGCATACAACGCTTCTGCTATCTCATATAAAAAGTCAAACTTGGTTTTACACAGTTAGAAAGAGATGAAAAAAGCTAAGAATTTATACAGTAGTTACACTTACCCAAGCAAAGATCGAGAAGAAACAGAAGGCGATGGCACCCTGCATGTTGTTGGCGGTTCCGTAGGGGGGGTTGTCGGTCTTGCCCCAGGCGTTGGACAGGTAGCAGAAGCCCACGAAGTAAAGGAACGCCCAGAACGCTGAAAAAGTCATTTTAATACTCTTGTATTCATAGATATGGAATTATATTCTTCAGTGTTTATTATAACTACGTTCGGTAAGAACGTAGTTATAATAAACACTGAAGAATATAATTCTACTAAAAATGTTCTCAAACTTTAAATGAGGTAAAATAAATCTTACGATAAAAAAGTTCACGTAGCTATAAAGTTTTTTTATTGTCAATAAATAAGTGTTTGTTACACTTCGAAGTCTCGTGATATTTCTATTTACGACTACTTTTGAGTCGTACTGAATAAAATGTTCGAAAGATTACGCAAGAAAGGGTCCAACAAAATATCTTGGCGCCCAACATGGTGCGATCAACAGACGATAAAATGAGATAAGAATTGAATTGAACATGGTCCTCTTAATACATTTTGTATTTCGTCTTCTACATTATGCATGTAGGCTCGTCTTAAGAAACTAAGTAAAGATTTAAGCCAGACTTTGATGGATATTTAGTTCAATGATGGTGTCTCTTATTGAGATTTGATCATGTTTTGTTGAGTCATTTCAAAATTTCAAGTAAGAACTCAAAAAAAGTAGATAAAGGGCATCAAATCAAGTTACATTTCAAGCTTTATTTTTCTTTCTTTACACAAAACACTGTAGCGCCATTGAGATAAATTGGCAGTAAGGCTCCCCTATTCACAACAAATGTCCACGCTCCAATGAAGTCTATCACGAAGTTCAAGGTACAATTGCCCACATCAATCCGAGTCAAATAATATGAACTCAGGCCCAATTTATTTCCGATGACATTACACCTTACCTACTTTCTTGGGCTGATTTAATTTACGTCGATTTAAGAAAAGGTCACGAGGTGACGGCAGTGATAAAAGTTGCATTACCATTTTTATCTGCCATCATAACCGTATTAGGAAGATAATAGCCAAAATCTTTCGTTACGGGACTGATTCTGACCGGTGTAGTAGGACCTCAATTTTACCTGAATTCATTGATAAAAGGTGAGATGGAGTATGATCAGTATTGATCAGTAAATAAAAATTAAGTCGTTTTAACGAAACCCTGCTATTGAATAATAGTGTGGAGATGGGGAAATAGACAGCCACTGAGAAACTACTCCACGCATCCCTATTTACAAATAAGAGCAATTGTTTTTTGGCATCTATTTCCCTGGCACTCCAACCCATCAATATTATAAACCTTAATAAGTTTTGGACTTAAATTACAAGAATAGGTACTGTCCTGTCCTAGTTCTCAGGAACAGCCAGTTCTTATAGGTTGACATTTTTTTTTATGTGATAGGAGGCAAACGAGCAGACGGATCACCTGATGGTAAGTGATTACCGTCGCCCATAGACACCCGCAGTCCCAGGGGCGTTACAGGTGCGTTGCCGGCCTTTAAGGTAAAGATACGCTCTCCTCTTGAAAGCTTGCAGGTCGTATCCGTCCGGAAACACCGCAGACGACAGTCCATTCCACAGTTCACACACAAACATACTCTACTGCAGTACATGTCATACCTAAATGACGAATGCAAAGGCAAACACCCACCCAGTTTAAGCCTTGACATACAAAAGCGCTGCCATCGGACACATAGCTAGTATTATACATACTACACTAATGTATAGCGGCAGTACACAAGTGACATCAAAACACTGGGAAAGAAAAACTACATGACATAAGTTTTCTTTTGACAAAAAAGTTCTTCGATGACGCCCACGTTTGGTGAAATAACCTGATTATTATATAACGTGACACAGTGTGCCATAATAATAATGTAGCGTCGGCTAGGTTTCAATAATGCAGGCATTTTTCCGGGGCCTGTAAGATCGCAGATAAGTAGGTCATTCTTGACTTATGACACCGAATAGTATGATGTGCTTCCTTAGAAGTATTTAACATGCCTAGTTTTACAGATATATGAAAGTTTTGTGCATGTTTAACCATGTTTATGATATTTTTGTACTCTCAGTTTAGAGTTGAAATAACGCTATGTCTTTGGAGCTCTTAAATCACTCACACATACCTACATCTGAGTCATTTGCATGCATGAGTCTCTTTTTTACGACGATTGACTTCATTTCAGAAATACCAACACGACACTCAAAATGAGTGAATACATTTTTATTGGGTACAACTCATTTTACGACTAGATAAATATGTACAGCCAGCGTCAAATATTGCATGACAGACAACACAACCAAAGTTCGCAATACGTCTTTGTTACAATTGGAATAAGGGTGTGTTGTAAACTTTTTGGCCACTTTGGGTGTGACGAAACATTTGACGCTGGCTGTACAATAAAACTCGCCAATGGAATGGCAGAGGAAATTATGCCGTGCTCTGCCAATCGAGCCGTAGTATCGATGTGGCCCTAATCGAAACAGGAACTGGCTGAAGATTGTCAATCTTTGAGTCGGGGATTAGTCCGACTGAAAGCCGATACTGAAGGACAGCCTTTATCCTATTCGCGTTAACTTTTCATTTAACGTTTGCGAAAAAGTGGCGCAAAAATACTTCTTTAACTCATTTCACTCAGTCACGACACGAAACTAATAACACTAAGTTTAAGTATTCGTTTTCTTACAAACAGTTATTTTCTTTAACCATTCACGAGTCAAAATGAAACCAATTAAAAAAGGCATAGATCACTACTGTCAAATTAAATTCAAGAACCTGCAAAACAGCAATTTATTTACAACATTGCGTCATATTCCAGCAATCAACAGCAACTTAATTAGGTGCTTGGAATAAAGATTCCACGGAAAAAAGGTCCATAAGTCGGCTTATGCTGAGCGAGGACCTGTTTGGTACAATTTTATTTTAATTTTAAGTTTTAATTTGTATTGTGTTGTGCCAAATAAACGTTTTTTTATTTATTTATTTATTTTATTTAAGTTATTAACCTTTCTGCACCGTATACTTATCTTTAATGATAGCTAACCTACATATCACAGCTCCAAGAGTCGAACGTGGAACAATGCGTCTAATGAAATAGAGTGGGCTCACTCGTTTCGAGTTACGCGCTAAGTGGAATTAAGTGCTCTAATAAAGTTCGCGCGAGGGTCAAGAGGGCATAGGCACTGAGAGAACAGACCAGTAGGTTCTGTATTTGCTCTTCTAATAATGATGACCCAGTTGCTTTGGGCGATGCAGACAATAAATCGCTTTAAATAGACTTGCGAGATACCGTTTTAACACAAAAAAGATGCATTTTCCTTTGGATTAGAGACATTATAGTGATGTCCAGTCCTCAATCTGTTCGCTTGCTGGATAATAGGTCTAAGTTGAAATCAGATCTTTCTGATAGAGCCCTTTCGCCTTCTACAGAGCTCCAAAACCTTTTCCGTTTCGGTATGAGACTGGTTAAACAGCATCTGTTCGGCGAATTTTTCAAAAACTTGATTATGTTGAACCTTGCAGAACCATTAGTTTAATGCATCGATGGCCAGAGCGTACGTGTCTGGCAATGGCATAGTTCGATTTGGTTCTGGTAATCCTATAATATTTTCAACGCAGTTTAATTGTGTAAATGTTTAATTAATCCATCATCATCATATCAGCCATAGGACGTCCACTGCTGAACACAGGCCTCCCCCAATGCTTTCCATGTTTCCCGGGTGGTAGCGGCCTGCGTCCAGCGGACTCCAGCGCCTTCCTGCTACCTTTATGATGTCGTCGGTCAACCTTGTGGGTGGACGTCCCATAACGAATGTTTAATTGGTTCCAGCATTAACGTGATTGCTGTATCTTCTTACATTTCGCTCGAGAAGTCACGGATAGTAACCCACTAATAGTAAGGGTCAGTTTAGGTAAAATATACGCTGCTGTAACCCTGATAGCCTTGCACTAATAATGTTCGACTTAACCTAGATTGAGTAGATGCCCAACTTCCCAACTATGTTGCTAATAATGTTGTAGTAATTAGGTAACATAAATAAGGTAAATAAATAAATTGCTAACTAACATAAACTGGAAAGACCCACCAAATAACACAAACTTCCTATATCAAAAGTAAATATTATAATGTAATATTAATTATTAGAAAATTAATGGCGTTAATGATATTCCTCTTAGATTAAGTTGTACAAACTAGTTGTAAAATTACGAGTAGGTGGTAATTTTTTATAACATAAATTAAGAAGTTAAACATCTTGCTATCTAATGACGTTGCAATAGGTACTTTTTAACGAACTTCAACAAAAGGAGGTTCTCAATTCGGTTGGTATTTTTACAACTAAGTTTTTAATTTGATGTGCTGTTTTAACTGCGCCTCTACAGTTGTTAGTTACTACTCGGTGTGAAGGTAGCAATTGTAACTAATCGATTATTGATTCATTGTCTGTCTATGGTGCGATTTGGTCTCTGTGTGACGAATGTACTAAATATTTCACTTTTATGACAACAATATAATAATAATAATAAATACACTTTATTGCACACCAAACAAATAACATAACAGAAGAAAAGGAACACACAAGGTACAATTAGGCGGTCTTATCGCTATGAAGCGATCTCTTCCAGACAACCTATGGTGAGGACAGTTACTTGAATATAATGCCTGATCGCATATTAATGATAGGTAGATATCACCTGGTAGTCATGAAACCTGCATCTCTTGAAAAAGTTCCATGTTGAAAAAAGAAAGCTCAAGGTATTTTTTGTATGGTTTTGAGCGTCTATGAATCTACTGATGATGAAGATGACCAAATATGGTTTACCTACATACCGAAAACCTGTAATTAGAATACATCAATTTCTCACACCCGCTATGGCCTTTACTGCATTAGCATTCTTCGATTGTGTTCAAGAGCCAAAGAGTTCCATTTAAAAATTAGACTTAAAATATCACAACCGTTCGTTCGTTCGTTGCGCTTCAAAACAATCATGGTGCTACACTTTTTATCTTAGCGCACATCCTAATAACATCGCTCCAAAAATAAATGTCACAGAGTATAAACCCAAGCTTTCAGGCGTTACGAAAACGAAAACGTAGACGCCTAGATTGCCAGAAGGCATCTGAATATCATGGATGCTTATTTATGGCAGATGTGTTATTCAGTGGTATTGTAGTGTCGTAAGTTATTCGAGAGGCATAATAATATTCTTCTGGTTGGTAGGACGGGAAATAAGTAAGGCGGGCCTCCCCAATCTGCCTGGCCAGCAAGGGGAGTTGGCCAAATCCTCCCTCTAGCTAGTGAATAAGAGAAGGTCGTACGATTCCTGATTCGGCGATAGCCGAACGGTGAGGGTGTCGGACTGGCCGATTTGTGATCCGAGGAACGGTGGATCGATCCCCGCCGCTCGACTATTATGGTGAACCCACTCGTAACACAAGCTTACCACAAGGGGTTAACGGGATTTGTATTTACAAATTGCTATATTCTTTAAAAAATGATGATGATGACTCACCAGAGAAGCCCAGATCAGCCAGCACATAATGCTTCCTCGTCTTCACGGAGGACATCTGCTCGAAGAGGTATTCGCCCACGATGAAGCCGACGGATGCTATGAACGCGATCACAGAGATGCCGACGCCATAGTTGCACGCATTGGTGTCTTTGTTGTACACGCAGTACTCCTTGTGGTCTTCCTTGTCCACGTACCAGCCCTTGGCCGATATGCAGCCCATCACGATCACGCTGAACAGCTGTAGGATACAGTTAGGTTTATACAGGGTGTTCTATATGAATCAAATAGCTATGGAGATATAGATCGTGCCAACTGCCATCCACGAAGACGCGCCCCACTATTCTTCCTCTAATGAGTGCATGAGTGCACACGCACATTACAATAATGACGCTCGGATTGCTCGGATCCAACTCCCCGCACCCCGCGCTTCTTTCGACCAAAAATTGGTCCGGCGCGTCTTCATGGATGGCACGATCTGTAGCTAACTAAAGGTCCTCTACTTCTTTCTACCTAATCTATTAAATATGTATTATTTTCATGTGCAGGACACGTACCAGCCCTTGGCCAATATGCAGCCCATGACGATGACGCTGAATAGCTGGAGGTACAGCTAGGTTTATACAGGTTTATGCCAAAAACTTTTCTTGAGTTAATGGCTAATTATAGTATTTAGAGTTTATTTTATATTTTTTTCTTAGTATGATATAAATTGTGTAAATAGAGACTAGAGACGAAACGGATATCCGGTAACTATCCGGTAGGCCGGATATCCGGCCTAAATTTACTATCCGGCCGGATACCGGATAGTAACTCACTATCCGGCCGGATACCGGATATTAAAAAACTACGACAATATCCTATTAATAAAATGAAATACATTAATCTTTGAGGTAAACATCAATAAAATGGCATATAATGACGTCTTTTATTTAAAGTCCAAAAAGTTACAAAAAGCCATATTAAGGCCTCTAAAAGAGTAATTTCTTTTTCTGGACTATTCACTCTAATGACGAATACATAAACAGTATATACTGTTAAATCGAAATATTGCCAAATAAAATAGGCGATCTTTTTTTCACTGATGATCTGATGCAATTCAGTTAGATTATGCAGCAAGTAAACTAATTTAATTTTCGCTATTCAATCACACACTCACGATGGCAACCGAAATCGTCCGAATTGATCTGCCCCCTAGACAAGTGGCAAAATCTGACATTCTATTCGGACTGATTCGATTTTCGAAAAGTGAGACTAGTCTAGTCTACTAATAGACCCACTGATCGCGTTCGAAGCACCTGTGCGGCGCTAAACTCGTCACGACATGCAACGAGACAATGGGCCAACTATTCGGCCGCCGGATATCCGGCCTAGCAGCTGGCCGGATATCCGGTATCCGGTATCCGGCCAAACAACTATCCGTTTCATCTCTAATAGAGACCCTAATCAAGTGTTATTTTTTTAAAATTGTAATGGTTAAAAAGAAGTCAAGCTGGCCCTCAATATTAAGAATTTGAGTCTCTTTCTTCTTTTCAGCCAAATGACGTCCACTGCTGGACAAAGCCTCCTGCCTCCCCCAAGGTTGTGGAGTCTCTTTACAATCATCCTATTTTTAGTGTAAAATTAAGAGAATTGCATACTTGAGGCTTTTTAAAATATGTATATTAAAGTTAGATTATAAGCTCTACAAATGTAGGATAAACAAGTAGGTAACATTCCATTAATTTACCTAATAATTTAGTAAAAGAGGTTGTTTACTTTATTTTTTGCGTCTAGATTTTTAAAACTTGTTATATTTACTACACCTAATTTAGTAACAAGATCAATTCAGTCTTAGAATTACATCTATTGCATTGAAATTCTACTTAGAATAATTTCAATTTCTGGAGAGATTAAAATGATCAAGACATCTGAATTTATTTTTTGACTATTGAATATTTATGCATTTCTATCAGATAAACTGCTCCATTAAAACAAATATAGACGTAAGCTGGACTGGAAACATATATACCTACTATTTTTTTAGAATGGTTAGTTAAATGTTGTGTAACTTTATTTCAATTATTATAGAAAATAAAAAGTAAGATATAGTAAATGAACCTCACTTAATATTATCAATTTAATAAGTAGGAAGGATAATGATAGGAATTTCAAATTAACGGCCAATGGTTATCCTTCTAGTTTTGTATGAGGAGCAAAGCTGTTGTATAATACTTAATAATCTAGAGTGTGACTTAATAGAGCAAATAATATCTAGCATACTAGACTTGTTAATAAACTGTTCAGTTACATGGAAAGTCCCTAGTTAGAAAATATACCCATTACAAGGGTAATTTCTAATTATAGCATAATACCGTTCATGTTTATGTAAAATAATTCAATAACAATACAGTAGGTAGTGTTACATGTTACGGTTCACTGAAAACGATAAGAGATACTGCATTTTATAATGATTGAAATACTATGAGAGTGTGCATTGAGGGTCACTCTAAAAGCTATAATTAGGGTTTCTACGATTGGAGGAGTTGTAAAATGAATGTGCTCACCCAGCAAACCGCCCTCACGATCACAGGAGGCCTTTGGATAAAAGCCTGAGGGTCGAACGCCCCGCCAGCCTTTCCTCCGCCATACGCGCCCGCTGTATCCATTTTTACACTTACGTAAGAACTTTACACAAATTAGAACACTAAATTAAACACCACATCAATGGCTCAATAGTCACACGACCTCCTCAAACCCCGAAAACCAATTTATATTATCGATCGCGCAGACGACACAGATGACAACAAGAAAATCTGACACTTCGTTTTCAATGGCCGCTGCATCGTTTGACATCGATCCAGTTTGCTCGACTCTGATTGGTCGAAAGGAGGTGCGCTGCGAGTTTCAACCAATCGTAGCTCAAGGACTGGAAGTTTCAGGATTTTCTCGGAAAACTGCTATGGAACTGACAGATTTGTAAATGAAAACATATTTCAGGGACTTTCTCGACGGAAGTTGCTACGAATTTTCACGGATGGCAGTTTTAACGCCTTATTTTTGTGGTGCCACTGTTGCCCATTTGCGCGTTTATTATTTACTAGCTGACCCGGCGAACTTTGTTCCGCCTTAATGGCAATAAATAAGCAGACTTGTTTTTTATTTCGAACGGGATAAAAAGTATCCTGGCTCTAAACTACCTCCCTGACAATTTTCAGCTAAATCGGTTCAACCGTTCTTGAGTTATAAGTGGAGTAACTAACACGACTTTCTTTTATATATATAGATGTATTTTTTATTTAGTTAGGTATCTCGTTGAATTTCAGTTAATCAAAACATTTCAAGATTTTTACTATAAAATACAAATGTATAATACTATGTATTTTTTTATTTAGTTAGGTATCTCGTTGAATTTCAGTTAATCAAAACATTTCAAGATTTTTACTATAAAATACAAATGTATAATACTATGTCTTGTCTACATATAATACCAGAGGGTAAAATTCTTAGTTTATCGACCCCGTAGTAGAGTAGGGGTATTTATCCCACAGATGAGAGATTTATCCTCTAGTCTCGCGGCACAGATGAGACAGTCTCGCGGCGACTTTTCACTTATTTTCAGTAAGTTTTATTTCATCACAGTCGTTGAAAAACTGATTGGATTTTCGGAAAACTGATGTTACCATTACCACTTTTTACTTTAAAGTGGATGGTTTCTATGGGATTAATTAATTAATTTATCGATGTTCTCTTTCAGAGCCATTAAGTATTATAGTTTGGATTTGGAGTAGACTGTTGCCTTAATTTAGGGGTACTGGGTAAGTAAGGTAAGTTGTAAGTAGGAAACAGAAACTCAATGAACAGACACAAGATGGGTATTACAAATATATTTATTCAAATTAAGAACTGAATTATAAAATAAGTAAGGAAGTTAAGCTGTGAAGTAATTACAATTAAATAATTTCATAGACTGCCGTCACTCAAACAATAATTTTGACTAGTTCAAAGAACAAATAATTTATACCTACAACAGTTCATTGATGTTTAGAATAACTAGGTATTGTTTTTATATCAAATCTAGCACCGTTCTAGCTTCATACAAAGTAAATAGAGTGACGGCATTTTCACACATTCATGTCTAAGTAAATAACATAAGAAAATTGGTTTTTCAAACAGAAAATGTCTGTTTCGTCTAGATATAATAAAAAGTCGAATAGAAAAAGTTATTTTTTATGTTGGAAGATGATCTTTGGAATCTTAGACACGAACATGTGGTGTCCATTTGGTACGTACAACAATTCAGTAAAGTAGGTATTACAAAATGTCGAAATAGGAGCCGTTATCAAAGAAGACTGTGTAGAAACACGGATGTTCATGATATTTACATAAAGCTTAGTTTATATTCCATAATTTGCTATGTTTAGTTGTTATTATTGTACATTCCATGGTGTTAGTCAAGAGTTAATGTTATATGAACCCATTTCGTATACATTTCTGATTACATTGAATGATTGTGTTGTCTACATAAACTTCAAACGATTCGATACATACATATTATGGTTTGATACTTAAATGCTAAGTAAATAAAAATAAATGTGTCAATTACTTTTTATGTGGTTACAAGTTACAAATACACGAATAGTACGTACTTATCAGAAATGTATCGAAATATTGTAATCGATTTATGGCCTCTAAATATCACGAGTTTTGAGGACATGCGTTAAAAATATTAGGAAACAAAAAGAGATCGTAATTTAACGCTTACATTATTTAGATGTCGTAAGAGGTACATGCGATGCTATACTATAAAGTATGGCCGACGTAAGGCTGTTCCTTTTACAGTTAGCAGGTTTTATTGAGTTTGCTCAAGCCGTATTTTGGAAACTTTAATATCAGCTCGTGGAAGCATGGCATGGCAACGGGCATGTCCTAATGCAGTATAAGAACGATAACATACAATATCTATGAGGTCTATCACTAAATGAATGTCTATTATACAATAATCACGTAACCCCCTAATTTTCACACTATATCTAGAGCTAGTATTTTGTATAAATTCTAACTACTCCATTCTACATTTTACTCGAGTAATCTACAATTTTATTATTGTACATGAAAAACTAGCTACTGGGATATATTTTATCTATGACATAATTTAAGTAAAATAATATTTACAAAAATAGCCACTTTCATCTGTTTGGATCCGCCTATAACTACCCTTTGTCACTCCAACGAAAAATAAGTAGATTTAACGTCTATTAAATAAGGAACTACGTTACAAAATATTTTTTAAATAAACAACAAAAACACACAGTTCATTAAAATTGAAAATAAATCGTTATTATTTAATAAAAAACGTGTAAAATACATACATACATTGGATGTATAAAATACGCTACATCGGTACAAATGCTACATAGATAGAAAACATATATAGTACATACAGTGTATCCTGTGTAAGTATAAACGCTGGCGATGGCAGGACGTGTAACAAAACTATGTGCTAAGCAAGCGGAGTCGTTCGTTTTACATGGACCAAGTTTCTTTCATAATAGTTACGCTTCTAGGAGCCATCGTATCGGAGGGAAAGCAGTCAAAAGTACAAAGGTTCTTTCTCACTTGGATCTAAAACTGATGGAATTAGTTGTCTTGTACTTGATTATTTCATTAGTCACCTACTGTTACATTTTATTTCGTCCTAAAATCCGATGGCCCCACACAAAACAAAACTGTTGTAACTGCCGATACAATCTTTGGAATTTCAAAAGTTTTATTCGAGTTCACTCCAACGTTTATTTTTTTTTAGGAATCCGCGAGTCCCTGTCGTTTCTCTTCTTCCAACATGGCGTCTAGTTCGTCCGTGAGGTTGGCAAGCATGTTTCCGATGTCGTTGAGTACGTCGACGGGTTCTGTGCTTTTTCCCTCGTCTTTTTCTGGGAGGGAGTGGGGGGTGGTGGGCTTGATATCGGGCCGCGGGGGGAGGGAGGCGAGGGGGATGCCCGCGCGTCCGTAGTCCACTGTGTGAGGACGGCCGCTGATTTGACCGCGGTTCTGCTTTATCGTGCCCGCGTTTTCGTTCGCGAACGGAATGCTGTCCGACTCGGTGCTCGAACTCGACTGTGGAAAGAAAATGGCGGTTAACGGATAGATACCTACTACTTAATACCTACATAATTTGAGGAGATATACTGAAATGATTAAGTTGTGATCTGATTACTGAATAGAAGAGTAAGCTTTTGATTCTCATGCATATTCTTCAGGGACGAAAAGATTTTCCGAAATTGTCCATCGAAAATTGGAAGGGTAAAGAAGAACGGTCATCTGTGACCCAGGCCCGACAGAAACGAGACATACCTCAGTTTTTTTGTCATGTCTTAATTAGTTAAATTATATATTTTTTATATTCGAAATCTATGTATAACACCAAAATATTACCCTTTGTTTTTGTTCAGGCGTTATACAAAAACTAATACAAAATGCCTATTTATCACCAAAATTGGTAAATGTATGTACCTAAATGTCTATTACAGCTGCTATGGAATGTATCTAGATGACCTGGAGATACAGTCGGATTATACAGGGTGGAAAAAATAATAAGATACAAAATCCAAAAATTCAATGTTACCAGCTTCCATAATCTGTACCCTATTATTGGTACCATTTGAAAGAGCTCGTGAAGCACTTTCAGAATCAGTAACTAGTTTTTCGATATCTTGTATAGTTTAGAAATAATCGAGTGAGATCTCTTATCGTTTCCACCCTGTATAATCCGGCTGTATCTCCAGGTCACCTAGATACATTCCATGGCAGCCGTAAATGGCCGTAATAGACATTTAGGTACATACATTTACCAATTTTGATGATAAATAGGCATTTTGTATTAGTTTTTGTATAACGCCTGAACAAAAACAAAGGGTAATATTTTGGTGTTATACATTGATTTCGAATATAAAAAATATATAATTTAACTAATTAAGACATGACAAAAAAACTGAGGTATGTCTCGTTTCTGTCGGGTCTGGGTTTTTTTTGTATGGGGCGTGACCGTTCTTCTTTCTTCAGAAGATTTTCTAGAAAGTGTTTCATCAGAAGATTAAAAATGTTTCAGAGATTGGAAGCCTGTTAGACCATTAGCCACTGTGATGACTTGGGACATTCTTAAGAGAGCTAAGTAATTGTAAGTTCTAGTCGTAGTTACCTTAAAACTGGCATCAGATCCCGTTCGCAGCTTATCCTCGTCATATCTCCTCGGGGGTGAAGACGGCGCGGGGGGCGGCGGCAGAAGCCCCGTGCTGTCCAGCGACACGCTCAGCGAGTCCGAGCTAGGATACGCTGGCAGGCTCAACGGGAGACTCTTCTCAGGGTGGATCTCCACAGTCGTCTGGCCGAAGCGAGTGAACGGCGCGTACTGAGAGCTCTGCCGCTTAGGCGGGTCAGGCGGCGGCTTCCGCGCCACGTGGGGACTCGCCCCGTAAGCCACGCGCTGCAAGCGAGCGGAATACGCGATCTCGTCGTACGTATAATCCGGAGACTTGTCTCTGTACGCTGGCGTCGCTTGGATTTTAGCAACTGGGCGCGGACGAACCAATCCCCTAGGACGAGGCAGCGTCCCTCCACCCTCGTAAGAACTGTCGTTCGTCGGCGTTATGTCACCGTCGTCGTACGACCGCCGCCACTGTCCCGCGCCGTAGTAGAACCCCGCGTCCGGAGAAAAAGTCGTGTGCGATGTTCTCTCTGAAGGGTCTTCTAGGCTCTCGAGCGATTTGCCGCGCGGGTGGCGGATCTGTCGACATTCGTTTGTTATTTTTAATTTTAGAACTTTTTTACAGTAAATTGTAGCGTCGTAACGACATAGAGATACGAAATTAATTATATACGAGATTTTACTCAAAAATTACGATAATCAATTTACAAACATTCAGTTAGATACTTTGTACTTTTTTTGTAGTCGAGTACAGATTAATGTTATTTACCTACCATGCCTTTCAATTTCAATGTTACAAATTAATAAGTATTAATAAGTCAGTATTATTTTTCTCGTTTAGTCTTAATAAATACATGCTACTGCCATTATAAATAAACTTACCGTTTTACATAGATACATACTAAAACTACCGTGCAGGCGTGTGCATAAACACATAAAAATATTGCGACAGTGAAAACACGCACATCGAAACATTCCGTCAAAACGGGTGCACATAAAGCTGGGTGCTGAGAACAAACTGAAACTGGCAGAGCAGTGCCATAGAGGTTTCATACCTGAATGGGGACCAGGTCTGTGCCACAAAGGGGCGTGTGTAGGGCGTCAAAGTTTAGGTCGGGGGGTTTATGGTAACTCCTGGCGTGCCGCTCCCACGGCTGGTAATGGAGCTCCCTCGGATATAAATCCTTTAGCCGATATGTCCAAGTGCGGATCGTGTTTGGAAAGAAAAGAAAACAAAACATTCACATGCTGCTTTGGGCTAGTGGTATTAGGATGCAGCGACTGACGCGTGACGGGTGACAAGGGACAACCCTGCGACTAGATTTTGATTGTCTCCAAACTTCTATTAAGTTGACCAGGGAAAGACTATTAATATCTCGACATATCTTTCGACAGTAAAATAACTGATATTTAAAGGATGTATTAGCAAAACTAAGCAAGTTATTGTTAATATTTGGCCTCAAATATATAAGTTTAAATCATAGTTAACTTGTTAATAGTCGCAGAATTGTTCACATCCTGTCATAGACAATGATGGCGATGGGTAGACATCTACAGTCTATTCGTAAGCGAAATATGGGTTTGAACATCGGGAAATGATGAAAATTTTGATACGTTTTCACGTCAATTTTCGCGCCAATCGGTCACAGAAGACCTCAATTTCCCATGTGTCCATCTATACGGCAAAATAAATATCAGCCTTGTGCTCAGGTTTTCACATGGTATATAACAACTAAAGCGTTGTTTGGCCTCAAATACATAATTTCGATTAGTTAAATTATTTTAAGCTCGTTATATAAACGCTTTATTGTTAAAAATAAGCTTAGTTAGTATAATATATTGCAGGGAAAATTAAATATTGTTTTCTTATAAATATCTTCAAAATCCTATTAGCGGTTTAGCTGCTGTATTGAAGATGGTCGATGTATGGAAATGAGATGAAAATAAAACATAAGTAACTTAAAACTAAACAAAATATAACAGGTTATTTGAAGTGATGCTTTGAAATTTTTGTTTTTGATTGAACAGAGAACTTCTAACTTGCAGTCTATTTAGTTTTTGAGACGTAAACAGTATCAATGATAGTGGACTTTGAAAATCTTTACTTTTCTGAAACATTCAAGTTAATAAAACAAATGACTGTCAGAAAAAACTACTTTTGAATTTGGAATACAAAAAAACAACACACCTTAAAACTTTTTTTCGGATATTAAAAACAAAAACTCCAAAAAGTTTTCGATCGTCCACTGTCACGTGAAGAGCTATGAAGGTCTATCGTTCTAAAACATCACTACAAACAGTAAGGAGGTGGCATGCATCCAACTGACCTGTCCAGGCTGTATCCGCGCGAAGTCCAGCGAACCCTGGTTGCTGATGCTTCGCTTGCCCGCTCTAATGTCCTTCACTCTTTTGATGGCCAGCAGTATTTTCTTTTGGTGACCGAGCCGAACGATGCCCATGTCTTCTAAGTCCTGGAAACGAGTTTTTTCAATCGTATCAGTCATAATATCATGCTAGATATTAAAAAAAAACTATTTTAAAGAACCGATTTATTTATTTATTTTTACTTCAATGCCAAAAATATTAACATTAGGCGAAATTAAGAATTTACCCTCATTATAAGGTAAAAAAATAGGATTTTGAAACTAATCATGAGTTTTCTGACTCTACGCGTTGCATGAGCGTAGGTACTTAACATTACGCTGGTAAGTAATCGTAGATGAGTAGAGTAGAGATTTTTAATTTAACTTATAAGTAAGATTTATTACATACAGATGGACTAGTCACTAGTTTACTAGGTCGTCACCTAATAAAACAGTCTTTATGAAAGTTTATGAAATGGATACGTACCTCCCAAGCGAGTTGTGTGACGTCATGCACGGTGCGGTACCCTTGAGCCACCAGTGCTGGTCCGTATTCCTCCAACCGCAGCAGTCGCAGCCATTCTTCTAGTGAACCCTGAAATTGGTAATTTGATACAGCTAAAAAAATTTTTTTAGTCCGTAATGTTTAATATCAAAAAATATTGGACACATATATTTTTATTTGTCAATCTAACAAATAATTACATAGTTATGGTGCGTTGAAGTTGCGCACGACGTCACAACGTGCGGCATTTTTAAGCAAGCGTTGACGTCACGGGCCTCTTCTTATGAACTTTGGGGCGCTTTATCTCTTTAAATTTTCATTAGTTTGAAAAAGTGAAAAATACGTGTAGTGTATTTTTTGATAAGTTAACTGACGGACTAATTAAAACTCTTGCTTTTTGACCCAGGCAACATCCCCATTATTTTACTTCTTAATTGCACGGTGGACATTCCTGACTCTCAAATCCTCCGTTTGCATTTGGTAAATAAGAGGGTCGGGCTTCTGCAGTAGTGGAGATTAAATGACCTAATAAAGATGATTTGAGACTGTAATTCTCAAGAAAAATGAGGCAATTTGCAGATGGTGTATTTTTTTTTCGTTTTAGCCAAATGACGTCCACTGCTGGACAAAGGCCTCCCCCAAGGTTTTCCACAATGAACGGTCCTGCGCTGCCCGCATCCAGGCTCTTCCCGCGACCTTTACCAGATCGTCGGTCCACCTAGTAGGAGGCCTGACCACGCTACGTCTTCCAGCCCGTGGTCGCTACTCGAGAACTTTCCTGCCCCAACGGCCATCGTCTCTACGAGCTATGTGCCCCGCCCACTGCCACTTGATTTTAGCAATTCTGCGAGCTATGTCGGTTACTTTGGTTCTCCTGCGGATCTCCTCATTTCTGATTCGATCACGCAGGGAAATGAAAGATGGTGTATTACAGTATGATATTTAAAAGTTATGTTTTGCAGGTTGACAAGTTTTCACAGTTTCATCTGGAATTATTATTTTTTAAAACCGTATGTACCTATCTATTAAGGGATTCAAAGGTCAAACTTTTGTAAGTAGACAACAGAGGACCCGGAGTAACACCAACTGATGTCTCTTAGAGTAGATAGTTCCCTGGGGGGAAGAAGGGTAGTCTTGCACCCTGAAGTGGAGTTCTGATGATAACGATGAATACTCGTACTTACCGGTATATAATCAGGCAGGTTATCAGGCACGTTCAGATTGGCAAGCTCGGCCTTTAACCTCTTGCGGTGGTTGGGTTTCTTGATGCCGACCGCTGTGAGGTCCTCGGGCGTCATGCGGGTTACTGTAGGCAGGTCATATCCCGCCTCGATGAACAGACGAGCGTATTCCTCCATCTGCAGGTCGGCTAGCCACGCGTGGATGATGTCTGGATCCTGGAATGGAGAAATTAGGGATTGTTGAAGATGGGTTGGTTGAAATAAAATGTTACTAATTTTGTTCAAGTTTCACCAAAAAAATTTACTTGTAAAAGTAACCCTTATAAGGCCCTACATTATATAGAAGTTTATAGATAGACGTTTCGTATAGTTTGCATACCTGACGTTAATTTATTATTATGTTCAACTCCTTTTAAACCTTGGACATCAGTACTGCCATGCCATGGCCACCCCAAACAAGCCCACAACTATTATATGTATGTATAGCTATCCACGCTCTTTGAGTCATGAGTGTTGCTCTAGTTATCTCTAATATTCTTCAGGATAGATACGCTATTTTAAGTGTTTAACACCAGTCTCAAATATAGCTCGCCCTGCAAGCATTTTGGGCGAGAGACAATGTGAAAGAATGCCTGAGTTTTTTTCACGTGTCTCTCACTTCTTTCTTTACCTTTATTAGGTAATAAATAGCGAATGTCTACTCACAGGTAATCCCTGCGTGATCATAGCCCGGACTCTATCCACAGTGTCCCCGCAGTGGCAAGCCGCGTGGTGGTGATGGGGCACGCGCCCAGATGCCCGCCCGCTGTCCAGGGAAGCGGAGGAATGCCTGGAGCCCGACCCAGCTGATCCGGACGACGACCCGGGGCTGTCGCGACCGGGGCTCTGTGGGTTTAGAAATAAATTATTAATTTATAGAGTGCCAAATATTTTTATCTTCCTCTGGTAAATTAGGGCTGTGGTCCTGCAGCAGAGACTAACGCCCGTATTCACAAATATTATTATGAAGTCTCACAGTGCGCGTGGACGCACAGGGTGACACACGAACCAATCACAGAGCTCTATTCAACGCTGTGCGTTCAATTTGCTGCTTCACTTAAGCAAGCATCGTTTGTGAATACGGGCGTATGTCACCTTACGATGAAAGGGATATCAGACTTATGCAAGGCTGTCGCGTACTATATTTTAAGAACATGTACACACGTATGTTACGATAAGTGTGTTGTATTGTAGGCTCGATTAGCTTATTGTTAGCGCAAGCTCACGACTCCGTTAGCAGCTAATGTAGGTAACTATAAAATTTCATAAGAATCTGTTCCGAAGACGTTAACGTTTGCATGCCTATTGTATGTTCATTAATTATAGAGTTAATAAATTGTTTACATTTACAGTTACAAGAAAGAAGAAGATCTGGGGGCACGGCAGTGCCCCCACCAAGTCGAGCAAAAAAGCGGCACGGCCGTACCATCCTTTTCTCGAAGCAATTCAGGCCATTTTCGACTGCCTGTAACTTCGTTGTGGATAAAACTAGAAGGCTGAATTTTCATTAGCTATGCAGGCATTGTAAAGACACGGTATATTTAAAATTTCATTCAATTTGAACCAGTAGTTTAAGAATTATAACTGGTCAAAGTTACTTAATTTTGTCACTCACTGACTCACTGACTCACTGACTCACTGACTCACCGATCATCAAAACTCTAAGGCACTTCTAGCAGACCTAGAAGTTTCAAATTTGGAATATAAGTAGTGTTTGGTGTATGAATCAAGGAAAAACTAAAATATTTGGGGGCACGGTAGTGCAACCGCCAAGTCGAGTAAAATTTTTCAATTTCGGTCCAGTTTTCTAGATACATAACTGCTGTCTACAAAATACAAAAAGAAATGAGATTTGGGGGCACGGTAGTGCAACCGCCAAGTCGAGTAAAATTTTTCAATTTCGGTCCAGTTTTCTAGATACATAACTGCTGTCTACAAAATACAAAAAGAAATGAGATCCCATCAAAAACAATACTTGTCAAAAAAACCAAGTCTCGCAACTCAGTTGTTCTACGGTAAAAAGTTGTGAGATCCATGTAATACCAAGTCCAGGCCAGGAAATCTTTAACGTTTTACATAAATATATTGACTTGGCCATCGCATGAAAACACGTGTAAATTAAATTATTTAGTGCGATGGCCAAGTCAATATATTTATGTAAAACGTTAAAGATTTCCTGGCCTGGACTTGGTATTACATGGATCTCACAACTTTTTACCGTAGAACAACTGAGTTGCGAGACTTGGTTTTTTTGACAAGTATTGTTTTTGATGGGATAAGTGCTTACCTGAGTCATATCAATGCCCTGGTCGTCGCTAAGCGCTAGCTGGTGATGGTAGTACACAGCAGCTTTATGAGTGAGCGGCTGTGACGGCGGGGGGAAAGTGAACGTCCCTCCTCCCGCGGGGCTCTTCCCCAAACTACCACTGGCCCCGCTGACCCCAGACACCCCCGACACCGTACTCCCATAATCGGAGTGGTCATCTGCAAAACAAAAATGGTCAGATTTTCGACACAAGGCGAAATTCACAGAACTAGTCCGGCCAAATTGGCTATCTGTCATCTTCAGATTATCTGCGGGTTCGTGGAAAACACGCCTACGTTTGTGGGTTGTTTCGCAAGTTTTTGTGGCGTTTGCAATGTTGGGATGAAATGTTGAACAGATTATTTAATTTGTAAGAAAGTTATTATTAGATCTAATAAAACTGCTCCTGTTTTTCAGACAGGACCGAACTCTCCGTCTTACCAGTGTGAGATTTCAAAAAAATCGCCGGCTTTTCAGTGTGCTTATGATGATTGCTCCTCATAGGTCAAGTCACAGGACATATAATTTCTATGTTCTGTGGGTCAAGTAGTTTCTTATTCGAAACTGGACAGTTTAACAGTTCTCCCGGGACCTTCATTGGTTGAGTTTTTACTGTAGCTGTAGATCCTGCCTAAACAGGAGTTGCAGCGGTGAAAACGAGAGGTGGGAATAGTCATGTAGTCGAAGCTTGAGTTTTAGTGTCGGTAGTACCAGAGGTGATGGTATGTGACGGCGTATCAGGCGGCTGCGGATACGGCTGCTCCTCGCACGACGCGTAGCCCTGCGAGCCGAAGCTGGACCCCGAGTGGCGGTGCTGAACACACCTTTATTACCAGAAAACAAGGCTCACCTCTTGTATGTGACGGCGTATCAGGCGGCTGCGGGTACGGCTGCTCCTCGCACGACGCGTAGCCCTGCGAGCCGAAGCTGGACCCCGAGTGGCGGTGCTGCGGGGTGCCGAACGCGTCTCCTGGCACGGCGGGGGGCGGCACTCGCTTGGCCGTGGCAGTTTTGCCGGCGCCGCTGCCGCCGCGAGACATCCCGCCCACTGGAAGAAGAGAAATTGACGAAATTAAGAAAAATACCAATATTGAGGTGACCGACAATAGCGGTCAAGCTGTAGACCCTGGGTGGCTACACAGGAGTTGCAGCGGTGGGAATAGTCCCGTAATATTGAAGTGATATGTTTCTCTATTGATATGATTGAAGTCTATAAACAAAAAAAAAATTTGAATTTTTATAGGAAATGAGCAATTGAGCATGTAGGAAAAGATGAATCTTCCTTTGATCTGATCGGCGTTGTATCATAAAAACAATATTTTAATAGTCATGTAGACTTTGTATCAGGTATTTCCTGTTTTGACTTTCGTATCATAAGATGGCAACTAACAAGGTAGAGCTGTAGAGATATCAACAAAGAATTTAAGGAGACAAACTGCTAAAAGCTTCGTTATTTACTCTCGGTGCCTTACGCAGCCGAAACGGAGTGGAAACTTCAATTTATTTTATTGAAGAATAAACTGGCAAATAAATTCAAGAGGTACAACAAAGAATTTATTTTCAGTGTTGCCGTTGTACCACATAATTTAAGAAACCTCCGCATATCCGCGCTGGCGCAATAATAATAAACTTTTGATGAGGCCCATCAGCCCATATTCTGTTATCAGGGCCACGCAGCGCACCAATCTGACGTAAGTAACTTTCGCCGCGATTGTTGATAAGACAGGGGAGGGGCGAATTCGGTAATGAGCCAAATCCACCATCAATCATGTTCAGGCAGGCTTCAGTCGATCTCCGCGCTCTGATCTGATCGCACACCTAATTGCTTGAGCCGAATCGATAAACCTAACTAATGGGCGGGAAAAATCGACGTCAAATTAATAACGATGCAACCCGGATACCAAAAAAGTTACAGAATTTATGCGGGAATTAAGCTGTTGTGAGTGTAAACAATTTTTTCGCCGGCGAACAACATTTCAGACAACTCTTTACAGTAAACAGGGGAACATTTTAGACTTGTTTTTTTGCTCGACAGTTGTCGGAGCCCTTTTATTTTATCCCAACTAATATTATAAATGCGAAAGTAACTCTGTCTGTCTGTCTGTCTGTCTGTCTGTCTGTCTGTCTGTCTGTTACGCTTTCCCGCTTAAACCTCGCAACCGATTTTGATGAAATTTGGCATAGAGATAGTTTGAGTCCCGGGAAAGAACATAGGATAGTTTTTATCCCGGTTTTTGAAACAGGGACGCGCGCGATAAAGTTTTTCTGTGACAGACAAAATTCCACGCGGGCGAAGCCGCGGGCGGAAAGCTAGTCTTGCAATAAAACAAGATTTATTTACATTCTCACAAACGAATAATGATCGGACCTGTATGAATATTTACGGTTGTAGTAGCGTAAATATTTTTCTTGAGTTGGTCCGCGGCTTTCTTTTATGATTAAAATTATTCCTTCAATTACCTGCACGCAATCATCGGAATATTTAAGAGGCAAGGCAATTACGATACAACATTAATAAAGCATTGAGATGTGAGCAAGGGTTTTTAAACCGCTTCGACAAAATTATAATAAGATTTTATAACTTTAAAGTTAAAAACTTATAATGGTTTAAATTAGCCTTGATTGTGTTCATAAAAATCCATTTCCGATGATCTCTATTTTAGTCTACGAATATTTTAGATCACATTTTTGAGAAGTCCCTTTTAGAGTTCACCTTCGTAAACCTAAGAAGGTGCGTTAAGCGGTAGCAATCTCACTTTACACCAGCTGGTTCAGGCTTTGAATAAAAAATTCTAAACGGCTCGTGTTTATTAAGAGGCTCCAAATTGAGGGGCTCGTAAACCAGGTGTCGCCGGACGTTACTTTGGAGTCATGGCAGGTATAATCCGGCCAACATCAGGAGCTACTTACGTTTATCACCGCCTAACGGCCTTCATTACTTGAGCGGGATTACTCGGCAACCTCCTAAAGTTTGATGGATCTTCATGACATGGGTTGCGCTGACTTTTTATGGCACGTAAAAGTGTAGTCGGAATTTATTGTAGAAAAAGGACTGGAAGGTTTTCGTACCGTTTTTGCAGCAAGACAGGTTTCAATTTCAATTAATTGATAGCCATTATTCTTAATTACTAGGTCTTATCTAAATGCAAAGCGCTGATTGTTATTTGTCAACAATTTCGCACAGGAAATCCCAAAGATTATTGTAAGCTAGTTAACAAATAATGAGTTATAGTAATTCCAACTGATCATAACCCCGATAGTTGTGCTGCTGAGATGTAATTATTCTGTAATCAACAATTACAAGATCGTATCGTTGATAGGAAGCAATAATGGTTAATTTTGCTCAATTATCTTAACTTTGTGTAGATCCTAAACGCCGTAATTGCTCGGCTATCTTTGCCGACATGCCGATAGACATGTGATAGATAGGTGATCTTGACACCAGTGGTGTTTAATATAATAACTTATAACGAGCGGGGAAACAGCAGCCAGTACTTTTATTAGGGCTAGTACTTATAGACTGACAAATGAACTGGAAGATTTCACAGCTCCATTAGTGACAGCTATAGGTAATAAAGCCATAACTTCTTGCTTGCTTTATGCTTTCTCTGAATGGACTTAGCACAGGAGTTTTCCTAGTACCTACCTATTCACTAGCTTTTAATCAACTTCAAAAAGGAGGACGTTCTCAATTCGGTTGCTATTTTTAATTGTACCTACATTTAATATAATTTTCACGGTCTCGAAAAGTTGACATACTTCCAACCCAAAAAACAAATTTTTTAAAATTTACTCCAAGATTACCTGAAAATTAGGAGCACTTTACATAAAGTAGGATCAAAGGAGCACAGAAGAAGAAGAAGAATCTGTATGAACGCAGCCTAATGTTAAGTGAACGTGTACCAATCTGCTAATTACTGACCATTAGTCCGCGAACGTTTATCGACGCCAATGACGACTTTACAACGTTTGATTTAAAGATTACATTAATTGCTCTTTTATAAAACTGGTGTCGCTGGGGCGTTGCTCTGATCCATTAGAACAGAGAGGTTTTAGAAACTTCAGATGTCATAATTATACATGGTTAGTACCTATAAAAGTTTCTCGTCATTTATGTTATAATTTAAATATTTGAAATTTTGAAGGAGCTAGTTTTTCCAGAAGATTAAAACCTAGGTAGGTTCTTTCGTCTTTCAAAAGCTCTTGAAATGGAAAGAGTTCGATAAAAAAACATGCCAGCTTAAGAAGCCCATTCTTTGGTTGTGTTCATTCAAAATCATGGTTTTATGTGATGCTTCTATAAAGCAATAGATGATCTTCAAAAATCGAAAGAGTATTTGGTTCTATTGGTTCCTTGCTACTGACAACGCCGTTAAAATTGTCATTCCTCACGCGAATTTATCAAATCACAAATGCGGCGCCGGCGCATGTTATTTATAGAGGAACACGCTGTTTGTGTTTAGATGCGACGTGCTTTTTATTGGAATCGATTAGTTTGTCTTTTCGAATAGGTACGAACATTTTCATTAAGATGTCTGCGGTATAAATGCCTCTCAACTTTTCACAACGACCGGTCCTGCACTGCCGCATCCAGGTGCTCTCGCGATCTTCACCAGATCGTTGGTCCACCGAAGGTTTACCTCTGCATAATAACCTAGTACTAGTACTAAGTACGCCATGAAGCCACAAAACATAAAGATCGTTGTAGAACATTAAATTTCTCCAAGCCTTTGCACTACATGTTCAAATATTTATGTTACTATTAAATATTTAACATACTGGTGCCATGCTCAATGAATCAGTAAACGAAGGCGCCACCCAAGCGGCCGTAGAATCGCTCGCTTTGATATATTGTTCCAATTGGTTTAATGGGCATGTATTGATAGATTTCACTATGTAAATATCAGCCTTATTCATATAGATATACAGACGTCGAGCTCTATAAGCAAACGATCTTAAACTTAGTATTTTATTACCGCGAATTTCTAATCAACCGACATATTTAAGATAACCATTTAATGTGGGCTTAGCAAACCTTTAATAGCATTACAAATGCAGGTCGCGGTTGTAAACTGAGCAGAATTACAAGGTATATAAATGTCTCCCAGAATAACCCAATAAATAAATTATTAAATACTTCGCTGGAGGACATACGACATGTGCTTAATTTATTCACACCATAATTAGATACGAAATTAACAAATGCTGGAGTACTAGAGTTGTGGTTTATTAAATTAAAGTTGTTGTATTGCTTGAGGCCTTCTAGATGGACATATTTTAGTTGCAAATTTAACCAAATATCTCTCAGCATTAATTCGTATTAAAGTCACTGATTATTGCATAGGACTATTAACACCGGAGTCGGTGTATTGCCTTGGGGAACACCTTTATACAACAGTGTTGGCGATCAGATTTACACAAAAGGTCGAAGCATGCTGAAAGATTTATAAATTACTTAAGTATATTATTTTCCAATAAAACAGTAATCATAAATTAACTTAGGAGCTCGATAATCCTACTTTTATAGCCTTGTCAAAGGCAGTTATAAGTTCAGCCTTGCAGCTGGCCGCTATCTTTGTAGTGACTAATTGACTGGGGACAATGGACCGAGTACTGGACTTTCACTGTACTTGAAAACATAGAAAATTGAATTTAAACTACTTTTTATTTGGGTTTAAATTGGATAGGTTTTGTCACTTTTGTAACTGAGAGTGTAATAGTGACTGAGTTTCTTGCGCTGCTTCTTCTCAGCACTGGCCCATTTATTGTCCCGAAGCAGTGGTAGGGTTAATATTGGGACGTGTAAAAGCGCTTTTTTAAAGCCTATTTGCAAAAATAAATGAATTTTATTTTATTTTATCTTAATTATTGAATTACTCAAACTTCTGGTGAAAGAAATGGCAAGTGTCGTCACAAATATTTTATGACAAGGGAAAAAGGAAAACACTGGCCTACTTACTGACTGAAACCAAACCCATTTCATGGATATTGATCATAACAGTAAACAAGTTTACTAAAAGCCAAGGAAATATTGACTCAGTGCAACAA